GTGGCAGATTTATTTAAGATATATAAAAATTTAAGTGATGTGGCGCCACATCACATTTCCGTAAGTTGCATATTAACAACGTTTAAAATTTGAGTATTGTATTGATAGATTTTGATCTTATAGGTCCCATATTGATAGAGTTTATCTTTCGGGTCCCTAATCGATAACGACATGAACTTTGAGGTCCTGGACCGATAAAATTCCTTAAAGTTAATCCAGTGATATATAAAATGACCATATTTTTCACACCAAGGATATGTTTACTTCACCGGTTATTAAACGGTGCTTATTAAGACCCGTGTTAATAAGCGGCGCATAAAATAAACAATGTTGTAAGACCGTGTTTACTTCAAACGGTTTAAAACACCGCTTAACATTAAAATGTCCAAAATAACCCTATACATATATATACACACAAACATTCATGAACACAAGTATATAATATAATATGTGTACCCATACCCCTAACCCCTTACCCACCCTACCTTACCCCGACCCCACCCACCCCTACCCCCTACCCCTACCCTACCTACCTGACCCTACCTACCCGACCCTACCCCTACCCGACCCCACCCTAACTTGTCCCTACCCTACCGCAACCCTACCCCCGACCCCATAGGCCCCTACCCCCATAGGCCCTTACCACATCGACCCCACCCCGACCCCACCTTACCCTGCCTTACCCCAACCCCGCCCCTACCCCGACCCTACCCGACCCACCCCCTACCCCACCACACCTACCCTGCCCCTAGCGCCTCTATCACATCGGCCCCACCCTGACCCCACCACCCTAGGTATAGTGGGGTAAGGGGTGGGGTAAGGGGTATAGGGTGGGGTGGGGTAGGTGGGGTGATTGAGGTCAGGTAGTGGTAGGGTGGGTCGGGTAGGTAGGGTAGGGTGGGGTTGGGTAGGTAGGGTAGTGGTAGGGTGGGTTCGGGTAGGTAGGGTAGTGGTAAGGTGGGTTCAGGTAGGTAGGGTGGGGGTTGAGGCGGGGTAGGGGGTAGGGTAGGGGTAGGGTGGGGTCGGGTATGTGGGTAAGGGGTGGGGTAGGTAGGGGTGGGGTCGGGGTAAGGGTAGTGTAGGTGGGGTAAGGGTAGGGTGGGGGTCGGTTAGGTAGGGTAGGGGTGTCTGGTAATGGGGTAGGGTAGGGGTAAGGTGGGGTACGTGTAGGGTGGGGTCGGGTAGGTAGGGGTAGGGTCGGGGTAGGTAAGGGTAGGGTGGGGGTCGGTTAGGTAGGGTAGGGTCGGGGTGGGGTAGGGTAGGTGGGTAAGGGTGGGGTGGGGTAGGTGGGGTAAGGGTAGGGTGGGGTCGGGGTAGGTGGGGTTGGGGTCGAGGTGGGGCAGGGATAACAATAGGTTAAGGGCAAGGGGTAAATTCGGAAACTGAAAAAGCTTAAAGTGCCGCTTAATTAATACATGGGGGGTGGTATGCTTAATAAGCGGCACTTTAAGCACCTCTTTCGGTTAGTAAGCGGCTTTTTAAGCAGTGTGCGTGTTTACTTCACCTGTCTTACTAACCTAACTGTGACTTTAGCAGTGAAGTAAACGCTTCCTTAGTCAATAATTTCATCATATCAGGCTACTCATAGAGGCCTCATATTGAGATAAGTAAATTTAAGTCGTTCAAATAATATGCAGTTTTCAAAGCCCATCTATAACCACTGCGCACATAAAATCGCTCTTAATTGATTGATTTCGCATGCCTTTAGAATTTCAACATAGCTCCAGGGAGAATCGACACTCAATTTCACCTCTTTGATGACTTGAACTAAAGACCTCCCACATGGAGAGGATCTTAAGTGCGGGGTGTAATCCACTTTTTGAACTAAAGGGGGTGTAATCCACTTTGATCACTCCAACGTCTCATACAACAGTGTAAATGGGAAAGAAGTAAACTTAAGTCATTCAAATAATCTTGAAAATTCACCCACTTTCCCTTGTCATTTAGTCATTCAATTCCAGAGTGTAATTATCAACAATTGAAAAAGGGATAAGGGTCAGTTTGGTCCTCGAAGTTGCAAAAAAGGGATCAAATAAGTCCTTATATAGAAAATTTTGTCCGGACATGCCATTTGAGGTGGCTCCCGGTGGAATTTTTTGATTAAATTTTTTGATCATCTTATTCATTAAGTCTAGTTTACTCATATCAAATTTCAGAAAAAAATTCAATCGGGAAGACATTCAAATCAATTCTTGAAGATAATTGTGCCGTTAAAAGCGCAGTTTTCTTCAAGAATTCATTTGAATATCTTCCCGATTGAATTTTTAGCTGAAATTTGGTATGAGTAAACTAGACTTAATGAATAAGATGCTCAAAAAATTTCATCAAAAAATTCTACCGGGAGACACCTCAAATGGCACGTCCGGACAGAATCTTCTATATAAGGACTTATTTTTTGCAACTTCGAGGACCAAACTGACCTTTACTCATTGAAAAAGTGATGAATAAGAAGAATATAATACGAGTCGTGGAAAGACTAGTGGCAATTATTAATAATTACTTGACATATAAACGCGTTGAATTGATTAAATATAATAAAAGTTTCATCTTCATATATGCATGTTTGTCTTACAAAAATATATCTATTTCGTCACTGCTAACATCTTATGAGGCTGCTTTCCTTTACTCCCCACTATCGATGTTAGAATTCAATAATCTTATACTCCTTCCATCCCCTAACTTTGTCTCGTTTTACCTTTTTCGTTCGTCCCATTAAGTTTGTTCCATACCATATTTGGTAATATTTGATTTGTTATCATTCATTCTTACTTTATTCACACTTTATCAATTCAATATCAACCACACAATTTCACTTTTTCTTAAAAGTTGTGTTATACCCTTTTATCCCAAACATAGTGGGACGGAGGTAGTAATTCACTAGATCTTTTATTTTTAGTGAACTTAACCCTTTTTTAGTGTAATCATATAATGAAAAACGCAAAAGCTTCATTTAAATCTCGATTTGTGTGTGTCAACCTTGCGCAAGGGCCATGCTTTTCTCTATATTGTTCCAATTTTATCGGATTTTCCCGGAGGGACAAGTTTCATTTACATCTATCAAAATGACGTACTTATCAATCTATTAATAACAAGTAAATTTACGCTAGGATAAAAGTGCGTAAGAAAATTTCACTAGTAAAATGACGTAATATGCAAGAAAATTTGTGTAAGAGGCTATGTATCCATTTCCATAGCCAACCAATGAGGGATGGACATATTAAAGTTTAAAAGTCGTTTTCAAATATAATTAAAGTCAATGAATGATTTTTTCACGAAACTCTGCTTGGTAAACGAGTTGACTACTCGGGAAGATTCCACTTCATGGAATCAATGTGGCTCGCCACATAAAATAGCAAGCGGTCTTTTTGGGCCATTTGTAATTCAACATCTAATTAGAAGACATCTTGTCTCGAATATACAGGTTGCAAAAAATCGAATAACATCTCATGTTCACTATGTGAATAAATACTCTACCTTTTCATTCATATTGATAGTTGGATGTATAATACATCTTATATTTTTTTAATTGCAACAATTTGACTTTCAAATTTTCCAACGCATGACTTTAGCCATTATTATATTTATTAATTGGCTACTTGCAAAAGTAATAAAATACATATTTGAAATTTACATTGAAAAAATTAAATAATTTGTCTTAAATAATTTGTTTAATTTATTAATATATAAAATATAATTAATGTAGAGTGAGTAAATAGTACCACGTATATAAATCTCGAAGTGTTGCAACTATTAAAGAACAAAGTTAGTATATGACAGTGAACATTTATTATAAAGTTTTGTATGACACCGGTCCTAAGTTACTCAATATTTTGAAATGCAAAATAAAGCCTTTTTCCCAAGTTATGTTCTTACTTTTCTTTTTAATTAATTCAAAAGTGATTTTATACTTTCTCAATTTAAGATGACAATAAGAAAATTAGACGTAGTATATTAGTATCATCGTGGAAAACGTCTACGACACTCCTCATTTATCTTGGCTTAAGACATGCATGATATAAAAAATGATCTGTAGGTCATCACGCGCCTACCACAACACCCTCTTTTATCTTCTTTATTTTTCTTATGATTTTATTCCTTTTATCCTTTTTATTTTATATGCCCCCTCCGTATTTTAAAGATTGTTAAATATGGCTTTGACACAATATTTAAAGAAAAAAGTATATAGTAAGGTAATGAATAACGTTCGTAGAAAATGTAAATAGGACTTGAAACATAAAATACCACCAAACAAAATGTCATTTGTTAGAGATGCAATAAATGGTTTACAATATTCTTTTTCTTCTAAAAAATCACCTAAGTAGCACGGAAACAGGAAACGAGAAACAGAAAACGCGAGAAACGTAATTTCTACAAAATATAAGATATAAAACGTGAGGGAAACATGTAAACTTTAAAACATGGACATGCTTATATTTTTTTTCAAATATGCACACGGGTTTTTTTCATTTATATATAAATATATGCACGTGATTTTTTCATAACTCGATCGTTTGATCACCCAACAAGAAAACATTCTACATGTTCAAATTTAGAAATCATTATATATTACTACCAAAGATAGATAAACTATGAACTATCAATCCGGATCTTGAAAGATGAAATATATCGGTATAGGACACGAATGATTGACAACTATCAATCTAAGACCTAAATTTTCATAATTTTTTTTTTTTTTAAATTGTAATTATTATTTAATTATATTAAATAATAAACTTTTGTGAAGAAAATTTCATCAAATATTAGCAACAGAATTAATAAAAAATTTAAACAAATCAAAACCTTTGAAACGGGGAAAGGTGAGCCATGGAGAGTTTCTATGCTTCATAGGTAATCACTAAAGTGGTCCTCAATGTCCACTGATCTAGCGGAACAATTTAGCAGGAAAAACATAATCCTTAAGAAGAGGAAGTTTTTTTGACAACTTAGGAAGGTATTTTCCTTTTCACACTATCAAAAATCAAATTTAATAATCTCAAATTTCCCATTGATGTTCTTTTATCACCAAAAGTGGCAACTTTGATAAACTTATATATACTCTCTTGGTATTGGGATCTTAATATATCTCTTTTCTCTTATCTATCATAGTGTGGTGTAATCTTGATTTTGGAGGTAAAGAGAAACAAAAACGAATGGAAATATTTAGCGGGGGGGTTACACTCTGGTGCTTCTTTCTGCTGCTCAGTTCCTTCGCACTGGAGACAAAAGCATCAGCAGACACAGAAGCCCAAGCTCTGGTCAAATGGAAGAACACCCTCTTGATCTCATCTTCTTCTTTACTGAATGCATGGTCACTTTCCAACCAGGCACACAAATGTGAATGGTTCGGCATAGTCTGCTACATTGGAGGAACTGTTTCTGAGATCAGCCTTCCTCATTCAAACCTCTCTGGGACTCTTGATCAGCTCAACTTCATTTCTTTTACAACCCTCAAACATTTCAACATCAGTGGGAACAACTTCACAGGACCAATCCCTTCCGCCATTGGAAATTTGTCGTCCAGCTTGATTTCCCTGGACTTGAGCAGCAACAACTTTTATGGAATCATACCGCCGGAAGTTGGAAACTTGAAGGAACTTGAGTACCTCACCCTTTTCAACAACAACATTGTTGGTGTAATTCCTTATCAGATTGGAAATCTTCAGAAGGTATGGTTCATGGACATGGGATCAAATTACTTGGAAGCCCCTGACTGGTCTAAAGTCAATAGCTTTCCTGTTCTGGGACATCTTAGTTTCTATTTTAATGAATTAAGGTCAGGGTTCCCTCAATTTATACTGGGTTGCAGCAACCTGAGTTTTCTTGATCTGTCCTTGAACCATTTGAATGGAACAATCCCGGAGTCTTTGTTTACGGATATGGACAGGATTGAGCATCTTGATCTCTCCCAAAATAAATTAACAGGGTTTTTGTCTCCAAACATTGGGAAACTCTCAAAGCTAAAGAATCTGAATTTGTTCAACAATTCAATTCAAGGAAAGATACCATCAACTATAGGCCAACTCAAAGGTCTCCAGGTCTTGGATATTCGGAGGAACCGCCTGGATTCAAACATTCCTTCTGAGCTTGGTCTTTGCACTAACCTTACTTACTTGGCTCTGGCTGTAAATTCACTCTCTGGTGTCTTGCCTTCATCCTTGTCATCCCTGACCAAGTTGTCTGACTTGGGGATTTCGGATAATTTTCTTTCAGGTGAAATTTCACCATATTTCATGTCCAACTGGACCGCCCTAACGTCATTGCAGCTTCAGAACAATTCCTTCAATGGGAGAATTCCTTCCGAAATCGGTTTGCTAAAAAATCTCCAATACCTCTTCTTGTACATGAATCAGTTTTCAGGCATGATTCCACCTCAGATAGGAAATTTACAAAATTTAGTCTATATAGACCTGTCCGGGAATAACCTTTCCGGTCCTATACCTAAGACAATTGGAAACCTCGAAAACCTCTCTGTCCTAAGCCTTTTCACCAACAAACTCAACGGGGCACTTCCGGCAGAGATTGGCAACCTGACATCAATCACTTCTCTTGATGTTACTGAAAACCTATTGAGTGGAGAGTTGCCCCAGAGCATCTCAACCCTTAGTAAATTGGAGATCCTTTATCTTGCTAGAAATGCTTTCACAGGCAAAGTTCCTAGAGACTTGGGCTCACACAGTCCCATGTTGTCAAATGTTAGCTTTTCACTTAACAACTTTTCTGGAGGACTGCCACCTAAACTGTGTCAAGGTTTAGCTCTTCAATATTTGACGACAAGATGGAACCGCTTCAGAGGGAAGTTGCCCGCTTGCTTGAAGAAATGCTCCAAACTGGACACGCTAAGGCTAGATGGAAACAAATTCTCAGGGGACATCTCACAAGTGCTTGGAGTGCACCCGGTTCTTGATATCCTTTCCCTGAAAATGAACCGATTCAGCAGCCAAATTCCTTCTAATTGGGGAGAGTATAAGAAGCTCACTAAGCTGGGAATTTCAGGGAACAGGGTCTCGGGTCACATCCCTTCCGAATTAGGGCAGCTGTCTAACCTGCACACTCTCACCTTGGATGCAAATGAGTTAACGGGTGGGATTCCGTCTGAGCTTGGCAATCTACGCGCGCTGCGGACTCTCAATCTCAGCAAGAATCACTTGAATGGCCAAATTCCAAACAATGTGGGAAATCTAACACGCCTCCGGAATCTGAGTTTATCACACAACACCCTCTCCGGTGGACTCCCTTCAGCTTTATCGGGTATGATCAGATTGCAAACAATAGATTTCTCATACAACCAACTATCCGGTCCAATTCCTAACAAGGGAATATTCCTCGGAGCGAAAGCTGCAGCCTTTATTGGGAATCCCGATCTATGTGGAAATGTAGGAGATCCTATCCCGCACTGTAACAAAACGGGGTGAAAAAGAAGCCAGGAGGGCTGGCTTGCTGATTATTGCTCCATTGTTATTGCTACTACTCTTACTTAATCTTCCTTGTTGCGGTTCTATCTTTCCTTCTCAGTTTCAGATCCTTGTAATAGCTATAAGGGATCTCAGTGATTTCAATAAACAGCTTTGATTACTTTTGCTTCTCACTCACAGTTTTTAAACACATAAAGATCCGTAGTAGCTACACCTCTCTCGTTGCTTTAATTCATTACCATAATATCCTTCTTGGCCTTGGACAAGAGATGAAATTGAGCAGCCCCGAACAATGCCTGCATTAGGAAGGTTGATTTTAGATACACTCATCAATATTTCATGTGTAACACGGTAACACCGAACTTGAACCTGAGGAACTCAAACTTGCCTTTTGGCAAGGCTTTAGTTAAGATGTCTGCAAGCTGGAACTCAGAGGGGCAGTGAGCAAGTTTCACTTTCTTATCTTGTTCCGCATCCCGAAGTGCATAAAAAATGACTTTCATGTGCTTTGTCTCACAGAAACAGACAGGATTTTTAAAGATAGAAATGGCTGACTTGTTATCAACTAGGATTTCAGTAGCTTCATCTTGGTTGTAGCTTAAATCTGCCAGTATTTTCTAAAGCCATATTGCTTGATGCTGTCGAGGTTGTCACATACCCAGCTTCAGCTGTGGACTGAGCAGTTAAATCTTGTTTCTTAGAATTCCATGAAAACACTCCCAAGCCAAAAGAGAAAGCCTATCCTGAAGTACGTTTCATGTCATCGACCGAACCTTGGATCTGAGCAAGGTTGGTAAAATACTCCAAACTCTAAAGTGCCTTTTATGTACCTGAGTGCTCTCTTTGCAACACCCATGTGATGATGTGAACCTCACTTGGCACATCCCTAAGTGGAACCACGGATATGATATATATAGAGGCACCACATCCTGTCAACTATGTCACCTGGAAAACCAGTTCTATCAATCAGTAAGTGCACTACTATGTGTGAGCGACCGTGTGTCTGTGTGCATGAAGATATAAGAGAAAGAGCATGCGGCATAGAAGAACTAACATTCTTTAAGCTCCTTTCCATCCTTGGAAAACCTACAAGAGATGCAAGCAAATGCATCCACTAAGAGCAACATTCAAGTCGATAATAATAATAATAATTATTATTATTGTAAAAATTAACTATAATAATAACAATATTAATGATGTAGCAATAGTAGTAATGATATTGAAAAAAGCTGAAAGCTAAGAAGTGCAAATTAACAAATATAATATAAAAGTAGAAAGTGAATGAGTACATATGTAGGTACTTATGTACGTAGGTAAGTACGTACATGGGTAAGTAAGTACTAGTGTGCGTGCGTGCGTGCATGAGTGAGTAAGTAATTGAATGAATACATGAATAAAAACCTTGTCAATGATGAGTCTCCTCTCAAGTGACTCTCTAGTTCCCTTATATAAGATTTAAACAGCAGAGACCTGCATCAAAATAGGGAAAATGGGAAAATATGGTTACCAATTTCTGCAATTTCGTGTTACTGCTTTTTTATTTTCCAATTCTGAAATCAGAACACATGTTTACCAATATTTATCTGTTTTCCATTTTTCATTTCCAAACCATAAATTATGTCCACGTGTCTGTTCTGTGTTTTCAACGACCCAGATTTCAAAATAATAAAGTATGTAGAACCAAAGGCAAAATTAGACAAAAAAGATGAGTAAAAATATACTCCCTCTGGTCCTAAATAAACTTTACACTTTTCTTTTTGGGTAGGTTCAAAATAAACTTCACACTTCTGTTTTTGGTAACTTTTTAATATAAAGTTACCCTTGTAACCTTACTTTATTACCTACTTTACACCCACCTTTCTCTCTCCCGCTACACATAATCTACTTTTTGCAAGTGCATGATGGAAAAGTCAAAAGCAAAAATTCCACTTTCTTAAAAACCGTAAAGTCAAACTATGAAGTTTATTTAGGACCGGAGGGAGTAGAACTTCATCATTGCAAGGAGTCAAAACCAGGTCTCCATCAATAAATATAACGGAGTAGTTCTTTTAACATCTCACCTATAAAAAAATTGAAAACGTAAGTGTTGAATGTAATTTATACATTTATTCTACAAGATAATAAGTGAAACATTATGGATTAATTATTATTACTATTATTACATTGCTATTATTATACTATTATATTATTAGTATTGTTATTTATATTATTATCATTTCTGTTATTGTATTCTTGTACTATTATAGGATCATCATCATTATTATTATAATAAAAACTACAAAGTAATACGTAATTTTATATCACTCTTATTTGGATTTGATTTGGGGTTAGATTCTCTGATATGTGTGTATGACATTGTTTAATTAATTAATACTCCGTAACTAAATAATGCACTCTGTACTATAGTAAAATAATGTACTCAATATATAAATAATAGGGGGGGTTTCAAAAATATTATCAAAATAAAAATAAATTTACAAAGATATGCCTAATAGTTACTACAATGCAGTGTCATGGTAACTTAAGTTCAAAAGTTGTACATAAGTTACCATGATTCCATTACTACTCTAGTCACAAGTCACTTTTTGTAAACACTCTTTATTTTAGTCATAAATATGTAATTATTTCTAAATAATACTACATATATAACAATATATTATTAAATATATGTATTATATATTACTATTGGTTCTCTATTATAAGTATATAATATAATGTTATATTATTAATAAATTAATTTTATATATAAAAAATATACAAAAATTGAACCAGAACAGTCGGTTCTGGTCCCCTATAACATATATTGGTACCTTATCCACCCCACCCCGATCTGGTTCCCGTACCCGGTTCTTTACCTGAGCAATTCCATCATTTCCATGTCCAGTCCAGTTCCAGTATTGAACCATCCCCACCCCTATGTGTTACTGTAGCATCAAGTTCCCCATTTCTCATGATTCCAGAACAACTAAAGTGAGTTCTCCAAATTTTGAGAGGACGACTAAAATGAGTTCTCCAAATTTCGAGATATTGGAGATGTTAGAAACATGTTTCCATTTCTCTAATTTTGGAAAATAATAAAGTAAACGCGTAAAAGGTCCTTTAAAGTTCAATACTTTATAGATAAAATCTAACCTCTAGTGTTTTCACACCCTTTTGACTAGGTTTTAGAATAACAAGTTTATAATAATAATAATAGTAATAGTAATAGTAATAGTAATAGTAATAGTAATAGTAATAGTAATAGTAATAGTAATAGTAATAGTAATAGTAATAGTAATAGTAATAGTAATAGTAATAGTAATAGTAATAGTAATAGTAATAGTAATAGTAATAGTAATAGTAATAGTAATAGTAATAGTAATAGTAATAGTAATAGTAATAGTAATAGTAATAGTAATAGTAATAGTAATAGTAATAGTAATAGTAATAGTAATAGTAATAGTAATAGTAATAGTAATAGTAATAGTAATAGTAATAGTAATAGTAATAGTAATAGTAATAGTAATAGTAATAGTAATAGTAATAGTAATAGTAATAGTAATAGTAATAGTAATAGTAATAGTAATAGTAATAGTAATAGTAATAGTAATAGTAATAGTAATAGTAATAGTAATAGTAATAGTAATAGTAATAGTAATAGTAATAGTAATAGTAATAGTAATAGTAATAGTAATAGTAATAGTAATAGTAATAGTAATAGTAATAGTAATAGTAATAGTAATAGTAATAGTAATAGTAATAGTAATAGTAATAGTAATAGTAATAGTAATAGTAATAGTAATAGTAATAGTAATAGTAATAGTAATAGTAATAGTAATAGTAATAGTAATAGTAATAGTAATAGTAATAGTAATAGTAATAGTAATAGTAATAGTAATAGTAATAGTAATAGTAATAGTAATAGTAATAGTAATAGTAATAGTAATAGTAATAGTAATAGTAATAGTAATAGTAATAGTAATAGTAATAGTAATAGTAATAGTAATAGTAATAGTAATAGTAATAGTAATAGTAATAGTAATAGTAATAGTAATAGTAATAGTAATAGTAATAGTAATAGTAATAGTAATAGTAATAGTAATAGTAATAGTAATAGTAATAGTAATAGTAATAGTAATAGTAATAGTAATAGTAATAGTAATAGTAATAGTAATAGTAATAGTAATAGTAATAGTAATAGTAATAGTAATAGTAATAGTAATAGTAATAGTAATAGTAATAGTAATAGTAATAGTAATAGTAATAGTAATAGTAATAGTAATAGTAATAGTAATAGTAATAGTAATAGTAATAGTAATAGTAATAGTAATAGTAATAGTAATAGTAATAGTAATAGTAATAGTAATAGTAATAGTAATAGTAATAGTAATAGTAATAGTAATAGTAATAGTAATAGTAATAGTAATAGTAATAGTAATAGTAATAGTAATAGTAATAGTAATAGTAATAGTAATAGTAATAGTAATAGTAATAGTAATAGTAATAGTAATAGTAATAGTAATAGTAATAGTAATAGTAATAGTAATAGTAATAGTAATAGTAATAGTAATAGTAATAGTAATAGTAATAGTAATAGTAATAGTAATAGTAATAGTAATAGTAATAGTAATAGTAATAGTAATAGTAATAGTAATAGTAATAGTAATAGTAATAGTAATAGTAATAGTAATAGTAATAGTAATAGTAATAGTAATAGTAATAGTAATAGTAATAGTAATAGTAATAGTAATAGTAATAGTAATAGTAATAGTAATAGTAATAGTAATAGTAATAGTAATAGTAATAGTAATAGTAATAGTAATAGTAATAGTAATAGTAATAGTAATAGTAATAGTAATAGTAATAGTAATAGTAATAGTAATAGTAATAGTAATAGTAATAGTAATAGTAATAGTAATAGTAATAGTAATAGTAATAGTAATAGTAATAGTAATAGTAATAGTAATAGTAATAGTAATAGTAATAGTAATAGTAATAGTAATAGTAATAGTAATAGTAATAGTAATAGTAATAGTAATAGTAATAGTAATAGTAATAGTAATAGTAATAGTAATAGTAATAGTAATAGTAATAGTAATAGTAATAGTAATAGTAATAGTAATAGTAATAGTAATAGTAATAGTAATAGTAATAGTAATAGTAATAGTAATAGTAATAGTAATAGTAATAGTAATAGTAATAGTAATAGTAATAGTAATAGTAATAGTAATAGTAATAGTAATAGTAATAGTAATAGTAATAGTAATAGTAATAGTAATAGTAATAGTAATAGTAATAGTAATAGTAATAGTAATAGTAATAGTAATAGTAATAGTAATAGTAATAGTAATAGTAATAGTAATAGTAATAGTAATAGTAATAGTAATAGTAATAGTAATAGTAATAGTAATAGTAATAGTAATAGTAATAGTAATAGTAATAGTAATAGTAATAGTAATAGTAATAGTAATAGTAATAGTAATAGTAATAGTAATAGTAATAGTAATAGTAATAGTAATAGTAATAGTAATAGTAATAGTAATAGTAATAGTAATAGTAATAGTAATAGTAATAGTAATAGTAATAGTAATAGTAATAGTAATAGTAATAGTAATAGTAATAGTAATAGTAATAGTAATAGTAATAGTAATAGTAATAGTAATAGTAATAGTAATAGTAATAGTAATAGTAATAGTAATAGTAATAGTAATAGTAATAGTAATAGTAATAGTAATAGTAATAGTAATAGTAATAGTAATAGTAATAGTAATAGTAATAGTAATAGTAATAGTAATAGTAATAGTAATAGTAATAGTAATAGTAATAGTAATAGTAATAGTAATAGTAATAGTAATAGTAATAGTAATAGTAATAGTAATAGTAATAGTAATAGTAATAGTAATAGTAATAGTAATAGTAATAGTAATAGTAATAGTAATAGTAATAGTAATAGTAATAGTAATAGTAATAGTAATAGTAATAGTAATAGTAATAGTAATAGTAATAGTAATAGTAATAGTAATAGTAATAGTAATAGTAATAGTAATAGTAATAGTAATAGTAATAGTAATAGTAATAGTAATAGTAATAGTAATAGTAATAGTAATAGTAATAGTAATAGTAATAGTAATAGTAATAGTAATAGTAATAGTAATAGTAATAGTAATAGTAATAGTAATAGTAATAGTAATAGTAATAGTAATAGTAATAGTAATAGTAATAGTAATAGTAATAGTAATAGTAATAGTAATAGTAATAGTAATAGTAATAGTAATAGTAATAGTAATAGTAATAGTAATAGTAATAGTAATAGTAATAGTAATAGTAATAGTAATAGTAATAGTAATAGTAATAGTAATAGTAATAGTAATAGTAATAGTAATAGTAATAGTAATAGTAATAGTAATAGTAATAGTAATAGTAATAGTAATAGTAATAGTAATAGTAATAGTAATAGTAATAGTAATAGTAATAGTAATAGTAATAGTAATAGTAATAGTAATAGTAATAGTAATAGTAATAGTAATAGTAATAGTAATAGTAATAGTAATAGTAATAGTAATAGTAATAGTAATAGTAATAGTAATAGTAATAGTAATAGTAATAGTAATAGTAATAGTAATAGTAATAGTAATAGTAATAGTAATAGTAATAGTAATAGTAATAGTAATAGTAATAGTAATAGTAATAGTAATAGTAATAGTAATAGTAATAGTAATAGTAATAGTAATAGTAATAGTAATAGTAATAGTAATAGTAATAGTAATAGTAATAGTAATAGTAATAGTAATAGTAATAGTAATAGTAATAGTAATAGTAATAGTAATAGTAATAGTAATAGTAATAGTAATAGTAATAGTAATAGTAATAGTAATAGTAATAGTAATAGTAATAGTAATAGTAATAGTAATAGTAATAGTAATAGTAATAGTAATAGTAATAGTAATAGTAATAGTAATAGTAATAGTAATAGTAATAGTAATAGTAATAGTAATAGTAATAGTAATAGTAATAGTAATAGTAATAGTAATAGTAATAGTAATAGTAATAGTAATAGTAATAGTAATAGTAATAGTAATAGTAATAGTAATAGTAATAGTAATAGTAATAGTAATAGTAATAGTAATAGTAATAGTAATAGTAATAGTAATAGTAATAGTAATAGTAATAGTAATAGTAATAGTAATAGTAATAGTAATAGTAATAGTAATAGTAATAGTAATAGTAATAGTAATAGTAATAGTAATAGTAATAGTAATAGTAATAGTAATAGTAATAGTAATAGTAATAGTAATAGTAATAGTAATAGTAATAGTAATAGTAATAGTAATAGTAATAGTAATAGTAATAGTAATAGTAATAGTAATAGTAATAGTAATAGTAATAGTAATAGTAATAGTAATAGTAATAGTAATAGTAATAGTAATAGTAATAGTAATAGTAATAGTAATAGTAATAGTAATAGTAATAGTAATAGTAATAGTAATAGTAATAGTAATAGTAATAGTAATAGTAATAGTAATAGTAATAGTAATAGTAATAGTAATAGTAATAGTAATAGTAATAGTAATAGTAATAGTAATAGTAATAGTAATAGTAATAGTAATAGTAATAGTAATAGTAATAGTAATAGTAATAGTAATAGTAATAGTAATAGTAATAGTAATAGTAATAGTAATAGTAATAGTAATAGTAATAGTAATAGTAATAGTAATAGTAATAGTAATAGTAATAGTAATAGTAATAGTAATAGTAATAGTAATAGTAATAGTAATAGTAATAGTAATAGTAATAGTAATAGTAATAGTAATAGTAATAGTAATAGTAATAGTAATAGTAATAGTAATAGTAATAGTAATAGTAATAGTAATAGTAATAGTAATAGTAATAGTAATAGTAATAGTAATAGTAATAGTAATAGTAATAGTAATAGTAATAGTAATAGTAATAGTAATAGTAATAGTAATAGTAATAGTAATAGTAATAGTAATAGTAATAGTAATAGTAATAGTAATAGTAATAGTAATAGTAATAGTAATAGTAATAGTAATAGTAATAGTAATAGTAATAGTAATAGTAATAATAATAATAATAGTAATAATAATAATAATAATAATAATAATAATAATAATAATAATAATAATAATAATAATAATAATAATAATAATAATAATAATAATAATAATAATAATAATAATAATAATAATAATAATAATAATAATAATAATAATAATAATAATAATAATAATAATAATAATAATAATAATAATAATAATAATAATAATAATAATAATAATAATAATAATAATAATAATAATAATAATAATAATAATAATAATAATAATAATAATAATAATAATAATAATAATAATAATAATAATAATAATAATAATAATAATAATAATAATAATAATAATAATAATAATAATAATAATAATAATAATAATAATAATAATAATAATAATAATAATAATAATAATAATAATAATAATAATAATAATAATAATAATAATAATAATAATAATAATAATAATAATAATAATAATAATAATAATAATAATAATAATAATAATAATAATAATAATAATAATAATAATAATAATAATAATAATAATAATAATAATAATAATAATAATAATAATAATAATAATAATAATAATAATAATAATAATAATAATAATAATAATAATAATAATAATAATAATAATAATAATAATAATAATAATAATAATAATAATAATAATAATAATAATAATAATAATAATAATAATAATAATAATAATAATAATAATAATAATAATAATAATAATAATAATAATAATAATAATAATAATAATAATAATAATAATAATAATAATAATAATAATAATAATAATAATAATAATAATAATAATAATAATAATAATAATAATAATAATAATAATAATAATAATAATAATAATAATAATAATAATAATAATAATAATAATAATAGTAAGAAACAATACCAGGAAGGAATTGCAAATGCTGCTAGTACAGGGGACAAATTCCACCAGATATGTAGCCTACTGCTTAGCCATCCCTCCAGAAACCTCACAACACTTTTATCCTAAATTAAGAGAGAAAATAAAATGAAAGTCATGGTAATAATATGCCAATGAAGATAATTGTAGTAAAATGTTCCTTGTATAATCAAAATGTTCACATTTCAAATGGACATATTTTAAATGCCAACGGAGATAATGTAATCAAAATCAAGAACATATTTAATATATACAGTTTTTTTGAATAATCATCAACTATATGATGTCAAGAACTTGGAAAGAGTACCTTTGAACTCATCATAGTATCTTTGCAGCAGATGTTTTTACAATGTCCAGCCATTAAGTTAAGCACCTCTTTGCATAGTTTTGATAGAGTAACAGGTTCATATGAGGTCGACATAAAATGTTTAATGAGAACTTCCCATTTTCTTGCAGCACATCCAAGTAACAAAAGCTCCTATTGGAAATTGACTTCAAAAGATTAAGAAATACACTCTTCACCACTTTTGTCCCAAAAAACAGGGCTTGTTCATATAAACGAAACTAAGTTTTGATGCATTTCGTTTGAAAAATAAATTAGACACTTAAAGAAGGATAAGCATGTTTCAAGGTCTATAGTAATTATACATTTATACCTTACTGTATTTAAAAAGGTGCACACTGGTCAAACATGTGTTTTTAAGGGTACCTCTGTGCGTTTGTGAAAACCATGAGCAATTTTGAACTTTTCCAAACAAACATAAAAATTACAAAAGTTTCAAAACCTTACAATTGCTTCAGAGAAAGTAGCATCATCATCAGTTAAAATGGATAACCTCCCAAACATGTTAGCACATTGGTCCTCGGGAGCTGAAAATATAAGACTGGCACCTGATACCATCCTAATAGTTCTCTTGTCAAGAAAATACGAGAGGTTTCGTGATCTCATGTGATTCCAGGTAAAAGGATCAACCGGCATTTCGCTATACCTTAGTCAAAATTAAAAAGAAATGTTTCAACTAATTAAATATCGGTTTCACATGCCCGAAAATACTAGGGCATGTTTTGATCATGAAAATACTAGGGAAAAGAAAAAAAGTTGCTAAGGACAGATACTTTCATGAGCACGGCTTTAACACATAAAATGCAAGGAATAATGAAATATGTTTAGTGTCTTTGAAAGATTAACATATGTTTCAATTTCTTGGTGTTTTTACAATAATAGGAATAGAAAATACAATATCAAAAAAAGCATCAAGGTTGTTTTTACTTGAACTTAATTCATTCTCAGACCAGACCAATTCAGAATCAATCAAACCAAACTTCGACAGTTGTAAAATACACAGAGATCAGACATTTACCGGACAAAATCACACCAGTTCAGACCAAATCAAACCAAACCAGAAAATTTCAATCCAAGTTAAAAATCCCAAATATTTATTTGTTGGGTTTTAACCAAATTTTTATTTCCCCCACATTTTCTTCCCTTTCAAATTTTCCCCTGGATTTTCCTCCCTGTTTTCTTTCCCTGTCATTTCCCCCAAGTTCCTATTCTTACATGAATTGTCACATAATGCATAGGAATGTATTACTCCCTACTTACATTAAAGCTCCTATGTTAGCAACAACATCAGGTAAGTTCTTGCCAGGCTCACTTAAACTCAAACAGTATACACTATGAGATAAAATATTTAAGAGTTTATCTGTTGCAGAAACTGATGACACTTCCAAAAGTCTCCTTTGGAGTTCACGTGCAGTTATGAAAGAGAAGCTGCAGGTAGCGCTATTAGCTTCTGCGTTTGATGATTCTTCGATTAATTGTCTGCTAGAGTCGAAAGCAAATTTTCTCGATTCATTTTGCAAAAAAAATTCCAAATGTTTATGAGAATCCATCTCGACGGTTGCTGCCACAAGAGCTCTGAGGTGTGAATCCCTCAATGGTAAGGAATGAATAAGATGTTCTAACATTAGATTTCTTGCATTCATAAGAGTCTTGGATGATAGATGTTCTAGACCCTGCGAAAACAAAAGAAAAAAAAAAGACTTTCATAAGACAGTTACCTGAGAACGGCAGAAAAAGTCTAATAATGAGAGTTATGGTGGTGAGTAGAGTACTAGAATCAGAGACAGTTTCAGAAACTAAAAGGGACTTGGTACTTAAGATCATAACCTTGGGGAAAAATGGGTTAGAAATCATCTCACATAAAGTTTTATTAAATTCCTCCAGAGAATCTCTATATTCATCATGGCTGCTCAAGTGTCCAATCACCTGGGAATCAAAAGTGCAACCCCAATAGTGAATAACTTTGCTCTAAACAGAGGATCTTTTACATGCATAAACCATCAGCATACAAAGTGAAATAAATAAATAAATAAATAAATAAATAAATAAATAAATAAATAAATAAATAAATAAATAAATAAATAAAAGAAATTTTTTAAAAATCCTTCCCAAATGTAAAGAAAAGTTTCATGTAATTTGCCAAAAATAAGTCACATACAGTTTAATAAGAGAGATTTAATAAATCCTGCAAATAATATAAGCACTGTAAAAGCAAACATTGAAAGTAGAGCATTAAAGATTCATAGTAGTTGTAAACTTGTAACTTAACAAAAGTAAAAGGGAAAAGAAAAAAATAGCCCCTTATACTAGTTCAAATTTATCACCTAAAACCATATACGGAGTACTAAAAGAGGATCATATAAGCATGCTTATTTGGAAAAACCAATAATCGAGTTATTTTACCTGATTTTACCTTCTATAGAAAATCACCCTTGCAAACATTGGGAGAGTTGATGGATTTGTAAGAGCTCGTCATATTTCAAAAAAAGTGAAAATTTTTAAAAAGAAAAATTAAAATTAAACATGTAAACACATTTCAAAAGAAAATAAGACAAAATTAAGTTTTTGAAACATATTTAATTTGATCTAGGTAATATTCTAAGTGGTGTTGCATAAACATTCAATGCTCAAGTGATATTCTATGTAAACCTATTTAATTTGATCTAAGTGATATTAAATAAACATTTTTTCTAAACGGCATCAACACTTCCTTACTAGAATCAGGGAAATTGTCACTATTTTAATGTATGATAGCCTCAAGCATGGAAGGCTATGTCGTTGCAAATTAATGCTTATACAGTAACACTAGTATCCAAACAGCGCAGCAGAGAGCATATGAAGGAGTAGCAATCAATCATTCATTCAATACAATAACAGCTGCAGAAATTGGACAACCATTGTGGCTGTAATTTATAGAAATTCATGAGTGCAACAGACAAAAAGAGCTGGAGAAGATATAAAGTACCCACGTCCTCAATTAATAGAGCCCATTGGAGGGCCTTCTTTATATTAGACGAATCCCAGTGAGCAGGACTACCAGACGATTGATACCCAGATGCAAGAATCAACATATCTACAAACCCTTTTATTGCTTTCAGAAAATCTTCTAGGGCTATTTCTGGATAATTCCAACCTGCCATTTTATTTTATTGGAATACCAATTCAAACGCGAATTGTAGCTGTAGAGAAGTTGGAAACGTGAAAGAGTAGACCCCCACAGGGCGAGAGGTGTAAAGCCGGAACGTGTGGATAAGTTAGATTTAAGATTTTGAGACAGGAAGCACGCCTATAGTGGAAGACTGAAAGAGTGGAAGCCAAGAGTATCTTCTTCACCCTAGCTTGAACGGAAATTCTTCATTCCTCACTAAGCATAAGACCATTTGTCACATCGTCAATGCTATTTTTCACTGCAGCTATGGTTTACATATGAATTTAGTAAAACACTAATTGAATTATTAAAAGCAATGTTTCACTTTTAATTTTTTCCCTGAATAATCATGAAATAAAAAATACACATTCCGATGTAAAAATAAATAATTTTCACAACTTTTTTTTAACATTTTTCGGTTAAAAAAATGAATTTTTTTGAAGTTCGATTATAGAATATTCAGTTATTTGTGAAGACTTCATGAATTAAAATTTTGTGTTTCGTTTTTTTAGCTCAAGAAACCGCAACAGTTAAAATTTCAAAAAAAAATCATTTTATATATCACATATGGATGTCATATGAAAGATCATAAAAAATTAAGAATTTTGATATATTTTTTGAAAAATTTAGATGGCAAATAAAAAAGTTATATAAGTTTTAAAAAAATGGGATATAATGATGCAAGGGTGACACCAGCATGACAGCATCCTCACCAAAAGAAAACATGTAGCGGTGCCATTCTTTTTCTTTTCTTTTTCTTTTTCCACTCTTCTAAACTCACCCTCTATCCCCTTCTCCATTTTTAATACCCCTTTTAAACCACCACTACACACAATTAGAAGTCCAAAAGTTCCATATTTAACATTTTGGACTCGTAATACCTCACCACTCCAAATGGTCTAAGTTGGAGGATTAGGGCATTTTTACAACTAGCCATGAACAACTAAACTACTCCCTCCTGCCGGTAGAGTTCTAGTTTTCCTTTTTTTAGCCGTCCCAAAAAGAAGTTCTTCTTTCCTTAAACGGAAAGTTATCCTACATCAAAATAGTAGTGCAAAACAGTATCAAACAGTGTCAAACAATGTCGAAATAATGTCAATGAAGTAAAATTTACCCCCTGGTAAGTTTATTTTCTTAATATGTGTGTAGGTCAAACCGGGAACTTCTTTGCGGGATGGAGGGAGTATCAAACATTTTTATCTATCACATTTTTTGAAAGATATTGATAAAAAACCTTACATCTATTAAACATTTCTATCATCACATTTTTTTGAAATATATTGATCAAAAACCTTACATCAGACTCATAATTCGAAGGTCCACTCACTTCCGGATCAGACATAAAAAGATCATCCTAATTTGAACTGAATGTTTCGTTAACCTTTCCTGGACCTTAATACTTTAGCAGGATAACAGCTAAGGATGTTATCCTGTTAAATGTCTGGTCTGATAAACGTCATGTCTTTGTGTATCTTATAATTAGCGGTCTGACGCGCAATGCGCGAGAGCCTATGCCCAATATAATGTAGAATTAATACTTATTGCCTGTTTGATAACACTTGAATAGACTGAATCGGTTAGTTTTGTTGAAATTTATGAAATTCTGAATGAATGGGCTGGATTAATAGGTTCTGCTGAATCACGGAAAATTATATTTAAAATATATATTTTTACTAAAATAAAGAAAAAATTATAGTACGGTATGAAAAATATCTAAATTGATCCTCTGCAGTAACTTCGGTCAACCCAGCTAGAAAAGTTACTCAAATCTTACTTATTTTGATTATTAAACAACTCTACATGCTAAATCAAAAGTTATGATAAAAAAGTTGACAGGTATAAGGAAGATAAATCAAAAAACCGGGATACCAAATTAAATGGGCGCTAATATAATACTCCCTTCACCTCGAAAAGATCGCCAAATTGACTTTTCTTGGTGAATGACAATCAACTTTGACCAATGATATTTTTAATTCAAAATGGTTTAGAATATGAAAATTATATCAAAGTGTTCTTTATTCAAAATATTTTCATAAAAATATAAATTTATAAATTATATACAAATATAATAATTAAAATTTTTGTCCAAAATTTGGCATCATTAACTAAGAAAAATTAATATGACAAACTTTTTTAGGATGTAATACATCTGACTATTTGAGTATTATTTTGCCCACTACTTGGTATCGTGGGACATTTGATTAAGTCAATTTTTTTATTGAATGAATAAGTTGTGTTTCCAATTAAGTGGTAAGCAAACATGATTTAATGATTAAGCGATTAAATTGTCTTTCCCATAAAGTACCTTAAGTCTTAAGTAAACGGTCTCGAATGCATCTAGAGTTAATCGATCGTCTTCCCAGTTCCCACCCCTTCATTTAGACAAAGCCTTTTATTCAAAGCATTCAAAGATAATTACACATAGCCTTAGATCGAGAAATGTTGAGCATGGAAGTCAGGGTGATCTGAGTTAAGATTTTTTGTTTGATTTACAGTTGTAAATAAAAGATTATTTTATATTCTCTTTATATGGATTTATGAAAGGATAAAAAGTGAAGATAGCTAAGAATTCATGCAATTTTTCTACTAGTTTTATTTACTGAGACACAAGGGGTGAATGTTAAAATAAATTTAGACTGGCAAATACTACGTATTAATATCGTTCACAAATTAACTCATGCACCCTCGTTTAGTGACTTCAGAAAATGTAGACGATACAAAATTTGAAGAGGCATATTACGTAATATTTAGTTAAATGAAAGAATAAAAACTACATGTGAGGTGTGACAACTTTTGTGTTTGAAATTTAAATGTTTCCCTAATGCTTAATAAATCAACGTACCAGATTCACCAAAAAAATAATAATACTATGAGTACAAAACTAAAATAGGTTACCTTGAGACTTGACTGTATATGTTTCCAGGAATACTCCGTATAAGAATGATGGAATTGGAGGCTTATCGAGATTTGAGAAGATGTTGGCATAATTTGGATTAGAGAAGATAGAGATTCTTGTGAGGAGAAACATTTTGTGTGCTTGAATTGCCCAAGTAATTTGTTAATTTAATTTATTCAGGCTTTTAATTTGAAGTGGTAGAATTAACGAAGTAATTAACGGAAGCATAACTTTTGTGATTCATTAAGGGTAGACAAGGTCATTTAAAAAGTAATGTCCAGTGTTTTAAAACAATGTACAATCTCTTATGCACACTTTACATTGACACAAATAAAGGTATTAATCATTATTTACCAATATATAATGTTGTTATACTATGGAAGTCAAGTGGTCTGATCTGGTCTGTTTAAGTCTAGTCTGATCTGGTCTGATACTAAAAACAGTCCAAGTAAAAACACTCTATAAAAATATTCAAAACATTATAAAAAAAATTCAAAACAGATCACTAGCCGATTAAACTAGCTCGAACATCCCGGCTAGTTACAAGAAACTTCATTTGCCAACTTCTTTGTACCTACACCACATCCAATCCCTTTTCCCAAAGCGGTCTAGTAGCTGCAAAATCCATGATCCCGGAAGCTCTAAATCCCGCCCCTTAACCAGTTTTTGAACCATACCATTTCACACCTGAGCTACCCGTTCGCGAACAAAGTGATAATCAATATTGATGTGTTTGCTGCGTGCATGCTGGATGGGATTTGCAGATAAATAAGAAGCAGACACATTATCACAGAGTAGCTGGACCGGTTTGTTGATGGAGACACCCAACTCAAATAAAATGGAGCGGATATGAAGAGTATCTTGAACTGTGTATGCAATGGCCCGATATTCTGCCTCTGTAGAAGACCTGGAGACGGTGGGCTGTTTCTTTGACTTCCAGGACACCAGATTCGGACAAAAAAAATATAGTAAAACCGGAAGTAGACCTGCTGTTGTCCGGGCATCCTCCCCAGTCGGCATCTGAGTATGCCAAAATAGTAGGTGCGGCCGAACTAGGCTGTAGTAATAATCCAAAATCCAATGATCCCTGTAGGTACCTGAAAATACGCTTAACAGCCAAAAAATGAGTAGTGCGAGGAGCATGCATGAATTGGGAGACCAGGTGAACAACATAAGTAATATCTGGTTGAGTCATAGTCAAATACTGTAGTGCTCCAACCATACTTCTGTACTCAGTGGGATCTGCTAATAATTCACCATCAGTCAATGAGAGTTTGGTACGAGTGGGAAGAGGAGTACAGACAGGTTTAAGAGTGTGAAGATGAAAACGTGATAGAAGGTCAGACACATATTTTTGTTGAGAAAGAAACATACCACGAGATGTATGGATAGCCTGGATACCCAGAAAAAAATGCAAGTTACCCAAGTCTTTCATAGCAAAAGTTTTATCAAGACGGGAGATAAAGGAAATAATGAAAGATGGAGAATTACCTGTGATAATAATGTCGTCAACATAGAGAAGAAGATACAGAATATGCGTGCCATGTCGATAAATAAATAAAGAATTATCTTATCGACTACAAATAAATCCATGCATTAACAGAAAGCTACTAAAGCGATAGAACCAGGCACGTGGAGCCTGCTTAAGACCATAAATAGCTTTGCGTAGACGACACACATAATGAGGAAACTGAGGATGAACAAAACCTGGTGGTTGACGCATGTAACCCTCCTCCGTAAGATGACCATGAAGAAATGCATTTTTAACGTCGAGCTGGCGGATTGGCCAACCAAAAGACACAGCAAGAGTGAGAACAAGACGAACTGTGGTGGGCTTGACCACCAGACTAAAAGTTTCTGAAAAATCTACACCTGCCTGCTGATTAAAACCTTGAGCAACTAGACATGCCTTAAATCGCTCAATAGACCCATCAGAATTAAATTTAGTTTTATAAATCCACTTTGACCCAACCACATTCTGACGATTATTAGGAGGAACTAATTCCCAGGTGTTATTATTGATAAGCGCATTAAATTCCTCTGTCATGGTAGCTCTCCATTTGAAATCTTTGTTAGCTTGAGAAAAACAAGAAGGATCACATGCCGCAATATCCGTTTTTAAGTTAAAATCTGTTTAGGCTTAAAAATCCCGGATTTAGAACGTGTTTGCATAGGACGATGATTCAATGGGGAAGGACTGTCGGGTGGAGAAGACTGCTTGTTCGAAGAAGTCGAGCTGGTGGGAGAGGATGGTATATCCCCAGGTGAATCATTAGAGACGGTTGCAGGCAGAGGAGGAAAGTTGGAATGAATAGAGG